GTCCGGCAGAAAGGGAAATGAGCGACGCCAAGAAAAGCGGGGTCGTTGGCGTCGACATTCACGCGTAAGCTGCCCGCGTAAGCTTGCGCGTAAGCACCTTCGTCTTCCATGTGGCGTGCCGCGCTGGTGGCCCATGTGAGCCGCGGCGTAAGGTCGCTGTGCCAACTCGCGTAAGGCCCGTCCTTGATCGTCGCTCAAATGGGTCGAGAACTGATCGAGGCCTCCCAGATTGGGTCCGAGTAGATGGGGTCGGAGGATCGCGTCACATCGCTGATGCATCGGCGATGCGCCTCGCCGTGTGGCCCGATTTTCTCCACACCGACGCCGCCGATGCATCGGCGACGTGGCGCGAACCTCTGACCCCGTCTGCTCGGACGCGACCTGGGAGGCATCTTCCTAGGGGGGTCCACGTTGTGAAACAGTGACGACGTCGGGGGTCTGGGTAGACTGGGCCTCGAGGATCGAGCCTATTGGACTTTTGCTGCTGGGACGCTTGTTTGGCTTGCTTCCAGAGGCCTCCTCCTCCTCCTCCTCCTCCTCGTCCTCCTCCTCTGGAGTAGAAGATTCTGGTTTGTCCAGCATCCGGCAGTGTCTGGGGACCTCTGGGGAAACCTCCCGAGAAGCAGGGAGGAGGCAGAGGAGGAGGGCGCGTGCTTGTTTCCGGGCCTGCTCGTGGGCGGCCTCGTCATTGAACTGATTTTCGTCGTCCCCTACAGGAGGAGTATTCAAAAAATAGGCAAGAAGTAATCTGGGGACTTCTTTTGCGTATGTTTGATTCTTCTCGGTCTATGTTTGGATTGTTGTTCATATGTTCCGCCCCAAAGCCAGGCTGAAGGGGGACATGCCCGACCTAACCCAAGCGTCAGAAAACAGTTTTCGTCGTTCCCCCGTGTTGTTTTCCTACCGGGACGAAGCTACTGAAACATCGTTTCCCTCGTGTCGATGTCGTAACCGTCAACCTTTTTCATGGGGAGGAGGGAGCCTAGCCGAGCAATAGGCGTGGCGCGTCGTCAGAGGGCTCGGCACCTGTGTACGGACAGGGCGGGGCAAGGGAAGGCTGTGGGCGGCGGAGTTCGTGGGGAAAAGGAGGCGGTGGAGAGATGGATCCGCGACAACTGCGAACCCTACGCCTGCGGGGCTCGTCGAAGCTTGGGCATCTGACACTCCCGCTGGGGTTCATTTGGCTGCAGACATCGTTCGATTTCTGAACCCCAGCCAGCGTTCCAGACAGCTGAACTGCAGGTGCAGGGTTCGCATGCGGTTGCCTGGGGGGGAGGGAGGCTCTTCCGAGATACAGTTTGTAAGATCGAGGTCAGTTCGGGGAGGGCACCCTCATGTTCTTCGTACTCGTTTCTTTGTTGCTCTCGTGCATCCTGGGGAGGGCCCCCTGGGATGTGCTGCGTGTTTTGGCCGGCGGGGGGTCTCGTGTTCTCGAACGTGCTTCTTCTGTCCCAGGTCCGACTACAGTCAAAAACCCTAGTAAGGACTCGCGACTTTACTCAGGGTACCCTTGCGTCCTTGCTCTTCCTTGCTCTTGCGTCCCTGGGGCTTTCGTCGTCCGCCGCCCCAAGAATCGCAACTTCGGCTTTTTTGACTCTATACCGCTCCAACTCGGAGCCGCGGGGGGACGCGGGACTCGAGAGGCTCTTGCCCCCGTTCTTGTCTCGCCTGCCCCCTCCCCCTCCCTGCCCCTCTCGGGCACCGGGGCGGCGGCCACTCGGGGAGGCGCGCCCCGAAGGAGCGGGGGGCCGCCCGCCCGAGCCCAGGATTGGCTGCAGCCATACACCAGCCACGCGCAGAGGGGGGGGGGGGATAAGGGGGAGGGGGGAAGGCTTCTCAGAAGCACCCCCTGCTTCTCAGAGGGCGCGGGCCTTCTCTACACATGTAAGGCCAGGGCCTTCTAAGAAGCAGGGGCGCTTCTGAGAAGCCTTCCCCCCTCCCCCTGCCCCCCTCTGCTCGCCGCCAGGTACACGTCTGTCGTTGAAAGCACGCGTTTCTGGATATCCCAGATACCAATCTACTTCAAGAGCATTCCTACTCCAAGAGCCGATACGCTTTTGCTGTGTATCGCTGTTCTCGGGGGGGGGGCCTGAGCCCAGTCTACTCTATCCGCCTTCCTACTGCATGTCTTTTCACCTGCTTATTCTGGCCGACGTGTAAGCGTCGAGGTGACCTCGGTGGATGCCCCTGGCGCGCTTGGACTTGTGTGCGTAGGCAGCGCGACCAAGCGATTATGAACAAACGCCTGGGGGGGCTCGTCGCAGCGACCAACTGGAAAGGGGACGATCACCACGATATTCCGGTTCGTCATCGTCATCGTCATCGTCGTTGTTGTCGAGGTCGCCAGGACGTTGCCAGCGACCCACACGAGAAGTGTCAATGTTTAAATCGTTCGGCCGCGTTGCCCAGGCATCCCACCCTGCAAGTTTATCCTCGGCACCGCGGGAAACGCTCCACTTTGAAAGACGGGTGCACCATTGGCCCGCGAATCAGGCGAGAACATAGTTTTGAACGAACCAATAATTAATTAAACATAAGTTCATGCACTAAGCAATTGACAAACGATCTAATGCCCGCTTTTACCAGTGCAACTGTTGTACGTCCATCCGCCCGTCCTCTATCCGTGCACATGTTACATACGAGTGGCATCTATCCGTGTAGCGGTCGCGAACATGTATAGCAGCGGTAACTCATCTAAAAGGAGTTGCCCTCCATCCATGTAACTGTCGGATTTGCTCTCGAGGACTGTGCACGGCGCCAAGAGGAGAGCCTTCTTTCAAGAACGATTTGTCTTGCATCCGTGCAGCTGTTATTTTAGCCGCGCGAGTGCGTGTTGCGCCATGGCGGTCGCCCCATTCTGCAAACGACCCGCCCATCGGTGCAGCTTGAGTTTGCTGACGAGCGTGCGCGGCTCCAAGGCGTGACCCCCCTTTTGCCAAGGCGCGTAGAGCCCGTAAGTGCACCACGCATTTGGGGCAGCTGCAAGCTTCAGTGCCGTCAGCGGCGAGGACGCAGCAGGCGAAACGCACGGTCCGCCCCGACGACACGCCTGGTGGTGCGACAGAGAGGTCCTATTCAGATGGGAGAGGGATGGAAGAGGAGGGGTCCAAGCTCCCTCTTCATAAGCCCTGTACAAGGTTTTGTTTCCCCTGGGGGACTTGCCCCGTTTGGGGGGGGAGAGGCAACCGTATAAAATCCTGAAGCGTGCCCACACTATTCTCAGGACTTCAACGCCACGAGTTGACCTGATTGTGAGGTCAATCGTGCCAGAAGGCCACCACTCATGGGACTTCAACGCAGCAAATCAATGTAACTGTTCTGGTCGAGCACCGATTCTGGTACGTTAACCATGAGAAGTAGTGAAACTGTTGCGAGTTTCTAGAACGCATGTGCGCGGCGCTAGGGCGAGAGCCACATTTTGAAAGAGGACTGCCTTCAATGTGTGAAGCTCTTGCGAACCTTTGAAACGAATGTGTGCGGCTCTAAAGGCGAGAGCCACATTTTGAACACGAAACGCTCACAATCCGTGAAGCTCTTGCAACTTTTTCAGACGAATGTGCGCGGCGCGAAGGCGAGGGCCACCGCCCTAAACTCTGTGAAGCTCTTTCAACTTTTTAAGGCAATTGTGCGCGTCGCTCAGGCGAGAGCCGCATTTTGACAACGGCCCGCTCTCAGTCGGTGAATTTCTTGTGATTTTGTACAACGGATGTGCGCGGCGCTTAGGCGAGAAAACCACCCGCCCTTCATCTGAGAAGCTGTTCTCGATGTTAAAAGTCCAGGGTCATGAAACGAGTTGTGAGGAAATCTCAGGCGAAACGTTCGGCCTGCCTTTTCGACCGGTCTCGGGGTGCGCTGGGATGAATTAGTCAGAAGGAAGAGGAATTGAGGAGAGGGAGGAGGATGAGGGGGAGAAGAGCCGGAGGGGGAGGAGGAGGTGGAGGAGAATGAGGAGGTGGAGGAGGAGGAGGAGAGGGAGACACCCAGACGTCATGCCCTCTTTGTTGAAGTCGCTTCCACGTGAAGACGGAGGAGGCAGTGGAGTGGGAGGGTGCTTGGTCGGCCTCTGCTACTCGCCTCCCCCTTCTTGTCCCTCCTTTCCTCTCCTTCTCCTCTCTCCTCCTCCTCCTCCTCCTCCTCTCCTGCTCTGTCCTTTCTCCTCCTCCTCCTCTCTCCTCCTCCTCCTCCTCCTCCTCCTCCTCCTCCTCCTATCTCCTCCTCCTGCTCTCCATCCCTTCCCTCCCCTCCTCTCTCCTGCGGCAAGAGAGAGAGAGAGAGAGCGGAGAAGGGGGCCCCAGGGAACAGGCGCCGCAAAGGCGAGGCGGCGGGAGGGTCAGATTTATTGTTATTATTATAATAATAAGTATTATTATTATCATTATTATTATTAATTTGTTTAAAGAAAAACACTATATACATATATAAAAGCTTTGTTGGAACTGTTTCTAATCATCCCCGGCGAATTTCAGGCAAAGTCATGTTTATTTCTGCACAGAACCATCAGTTTCTGTTTTTTTGCAACTAGGTCCCCGTAGCAACTCTTGCCTCTCAGCCCTGCTGCTTCTGCTGTCCTCGTCTTCTTTCTCTTGCCCTTGCTCCGTTCTCTCCTGTTATATTCCCGCCCCCTTCGGTTGCGAGGCATGCTGCCAGATTCCATCTAATCTTTCGAAGCGAGAGTGTGATGCTGATTGCTTGAGCCACTCGCGCCGTTGTCGACCGCATGGGCCTTTCAATGGCAAAACGCATGTCCGCGTTGACAACACAAGCGACACAAGATGTGTGCGCGTGTGCCTGAGCATCTTTGAAACATTGGGAGCACCTTGCATCTAAATATGTGTGATCATGCGCACACTGGCTTTCGCTGCGCAAGCCTGTGCACAGTGCCTATTGCCTTGGAACAGTGGACGCGCATGGGTATATTTTGAAAGGAGTTTTCAGAATGTGGTAGAAGAGGTCAAGGCAGGGAGATGGACAAAGAACGGTCAGCGCGGCGTCGGGGGCAGGCGTACCACACGACAGAAATCATGTCGGAGGCCACTGCTCGTTATCGCTCTTTACCGCCCGCGTTTGTTTCCCCTGCCGACTCCCTTCCTGCTTGGAAGAGGATGCAGCCAGTCACACGGCAGGCATATCATGGCCATATGGGGTAGAAGGCATAGGAATCGAGTCGAGGCACCGGATGCAAAACATTGGAGACGACATCCAGTTGCTTCCAGCAATTCCTCCACCGTGCCAGCGCAGCACTCTGGGTGGCAACTTCTCGAGAAAGCAAGGGGGCATGCTGGTAGCCTGTTGGGGCAGAAGGCTCGAATTGCCGGTGCGTGTTCCCACTCTTGTGCCCATCTCGGGGTTTGGGGCCGTCTTGGGACCCTCTCGGGCAGTCTTGAGCGCGTCTTGGGCCATCTTGGATCCCTCTTGAGCCGTCTGGGTTCGTTCTTGGGGGCCTTTGGAGCCGTCACGGGGGCCTCTTGGGGGCCTCTTTGGCCGCATTGGAGCGTCGGAAGCTCGAAAAGGCGAAACTTAAACAACGTTGAACGGGCTACAGAGTATCAATGGTTTTTGCCTCCTGGGGCCCTTTCTGGGGCCTCTTGTGGGCCTCTCTTGGCCCTCTTGGGGCCTCTCAAGTGCCCTCTTGGGACGGAAGGCTCGAATTGCCTGTTCGTGTTCACCGATTTGGGCCCTTCATGTGGCCATCTTGAGGCATTCTTGGGCGTCTTTTGGGCCGTCTTGGAGCTTTTTCGCCATCTTGAGGCCCTCTGGGGGGGCCTCTTGGGCTTTCTTGGGGCAGTTGTAGTCGCCTCTTGGGCCGTTTTGGAGCGCCGCGAGCTCGAAAAGTCGACAATCCGAAAAATCGTTGCCGCACAACGCCTCAACACCGTATGTCGGTCGTCCTCGTGCTAGGCTCTCGTTTGGAATGCATCGTTTGTTGCTCGCCACTTCTTTCTCCCCCGCATCCTCCCGTGTCCGTTCTCTCCTTTCTTTCGGGGGTACCTCCAGGGGCCCCCGGGGGCCTGCTGTTGGGCCTCGGACTGCTACAGTCTCCTAGAATTAAGATTGAGTGCAATCTTAACGACGGGGGGGCGGAGCGAGGCTCCGTCTGGAGTTCTCCCGAGTTTTCCCTCCCCACCCCCTTGCCCTCTTGCTTGCAGCCGTCGTCGCCCTCCTGCACCCCCTGGCGTCCTCCTACACGTACTCGTCGACACTGTCGTCGTCCTCCTCATCGTCTTTCTCATCATCGGCCTTGTGCCTGTCTTCCTGCTTGCTGCCCTTCTGGTCCTCCTCGCTCTCGCCCCGTCCTCCTCCTGGCCCGCCTCCTCGTCGCCCTCCTCCTTCCCTTCGTCGCCATCCTCATTCCCTTCTGGTCAAGAGCGGCGCCTCCCGTTCTGGACCGGCCAGTTTCGGAGTCGAGACTGCAACGACTGGTTCCTGCGAGAGCCCCAGGCTGTGAGCAGGGCGAGCCCTGTGCAGAGCAGTGCAGCGCAGCCCACTGGCGGGATCGCGTGCCAGGGGCCGCACGCCCGCGGAGCACCCGCGGCATCCGCGCCGCAGCCCACATCTGGGCGGGGTCCCTCCGAAGGGCCCAGTGCCGGCCCGTGAGGCCCAGAGAGGGCGCAGAACATGTCCAGAAAGGGCGCGGGTCTCCCTCCTCCTCCTCCTCCTCCTCTTCGTCGTCCTCCTACCCTGGCGAGGGCTTGGACGTCAGGCTCGACTCACAGGTCATCGCTTTGAGACAGCTCATCCATGAGTACCCCGAAGTTTATCCTCATGAGTGGTGGGATCGGGCTACTATCTTTGGCGAACATTTATCTGTGGAGTTTGAAGTAGCTACGAAAGAATCTTCACGCTTACGGCAGCAGTCGTGGACGGAGTGGTGTGACACTGCCCTCAAGGGTTCGGCTAAACTGATGCATAAGATCACGCGACTCCAGAAGGTATGGTGCCCCACAGTGGTTCAGAAGGCTCCTGGCATCTACTCCAGCAGTCCTGAGGAGGTGCTCAACTCGGAGGTCGGGATGCTGCAGCAACAGTGGAATGCGTCGACGTCGCCCCCACGCGCTGAAGTACCTGATCGCGAGTGCTTCCCGCGGGCCACTGCTGACGAGCTGCGGAGTGCTTCTCGGTCCTTTTGCCAGTTCACGTCATCGACTTTGGATGGCTTTCATCCCCGACATATATCGCTTTTGGGTGATCCAGCTCTGGAGACCCTCAGTGCATTGTTTGAAGCAGTGGAACGACTAGGACTCTTTCCTCGTCACTTCATGTGGATGGTATTTCCACTTATTGAGAAGCCAGCGGGAGGGCACCGTGCCATCCTCTTGTTGGCCAGCTTTGTGCGTGTATGGGAGAGGCTCCGCCGTCCCATGCTGGATCCGTTCTTTGCGGCCACGGAGAGGGCCTACTGGGCCTTTGGGTCTGGGAAGAGCGCGGAGTCATGTGTGTGGGCCCAGACGGCCCTTGGAGAGATTGCCGCGGCGGATGATCAGGTGGTCCTGGGAGTCCAGTGGGACGGCAAGAAATACTACGAGTCTTTCTGTCTGGAGCGTCTGCGCGATCGAGTTCGACAATGGGGCATCCCTGGGGTGATTGTAAAAACGATGTACAACCTCTGGCGCTCTCCGCGGCTGATTAGGCTGGGCACTTCCTTCCATCCAGTTGCACTTTTTGCTCAGAGCGGCCTACCTGCAGGTGATATTTTCAACGATGCGTTCGTAAAGGTATATGCGATCGGGGCCTTCGACGCGTTTACGGCTCGCTTTCCACATCCTATTCGGCTGTCTTCGTATGTCGACGATGACACGATCATGGCGACGGGTACTAAGGCTGAGTTGCTTAGATTGATTCCAGATGCAGCGGAGGATTTTTATCACATGTTTCGGGGACAACTTAGAGCCGACATATCGGAAACTAAAGCTATTACGATTGCCAGCTCACCATCCTTAGCTAAGGCGCTAGCACATCAACTTCAGCTCCGAGGGCTCCCAGCAGGCACCATAACCCACTCGTCGGTGAATCTTGGGGTTGACTTTACACCAGCGCAGGTTCGGATGACAAAAGGGGCCCTCCGAAAGCGTCGTGAACGATTTCGCCAGTTTCGCCTTCGACACTCTCGGGTCCTTCGATTTCGTAAATGGTTATCTCACGGGAAACATCGAATGGCAGTAATACATCAGGCAGGCCTTAAACCAGCTCTTGCTTATGGCAGCTCTGTGCTTGGAATGTCGGACTACGAGCTACAGCGAGCTCGCACCTTACTGCTCAGTTTTCGCTCTCCATCGCATAGGGGTGGATCTTTGCTGTCGAAGATTGTGCTCCACGGCGACCCGATGGCCGACGTCAGTGTTGCACCAGCAGCTGCATGGAGTGTGGCAGTCTGGCAGGCCCTGGTTGCACCAGAGCGCGCTCTCTTCAGCATTCGAGAACTTCATCAGATGTTTCAGGTAGTTAAGGAGAGAATGGAGCCACATCACAGATGGCGACACACGAAAGGACCGATCTCGCGGATGCTCCTATCTCTCCGACGTGTTGGCTGGTCCGCTAAGAACTTCGCTCTCTGGGAGGATGATAATGGGGTGGAGATCTCGCTCATGTACACGGCTCCTAACATGCTTAAGGGTTTGCTTCGTGATGCTGTTCAGCGTAAGCATGAACGTGATATGGCACGCACTGTAGATAATTTTGAGCATGCACGTGTGTGTTCTGACATTGTGCGTAGCATAGTGTGTGCGTCTAAGAAGTATACGCCTAGGCAGAAGTATGCTGTAGCTAGTTGCTTTTGTAAGGCTGTGTTCACGTGCGACAGGCTAAACATAGATGAAGGCCTCTGTCCACGTTGTGGGGCCCCTGATAGTGTCTTCCACAGGCTCTGGGTGCGCCCTAGCCCCGAGGTTGCACAGGCCCGAGGAGAGGTTGCCACCCCAGAGATTGTTCAAGAGGCTTTGGAGGCTGGTCCGACGAACCCTTTTTGGACCCGCCTCATCTTTCCTCATCCCTCTCTCACCTTCCAGCCTCCCACTGATTGGGTCTATCCCGAGCTCTTGGATGCGCAAGGAAATGTCCTATCGGACTTCTCGTGTATCGAGGGGGCCAGCGATGTCGTCGTCGATGGGTCGTGCACGAGGCCTCCGATACGCGAGCTTGCGCGAGCTTCCTTTGCTGGAGTCTTCCTTGAGCGAGGCTCGGAGGAAGTACTGGCGAGGTTTCGTGGGCCGGTCTGGCCAAGTTTGCCGCAGACCCCTCAGGCAGCTGAGCACATGGGCTTAGTTGCCATAAGTTTCTTTGTCGGGCAGCTGACGCATCAGATTGGAGTTTTTTCGGACTGTCTGGGTCCCGTGCGGTATCATAATCAGTCGGCTGCCCTTCAGGTGTCTTCCAGGAACAAATATGCTGGGCTTCGGAGGGGTTTTTGGGAGATCCAAGGCTCGAAAAACGTCGGCCCTGCGACCCACACCCCTGCCCACCGAAGCATGGATGTAATTGATGCTCTCCCGCCAGATGAGCGTGGGATAGGACGTGCCAACTTCCATGCGGATCGTTTCGCGAAGGAGGCTCTAGCACTGCACGCACAGGAACCCCAAGAGTCCTGGGATGACCTCTCGGCCCTGGTTGCCAAGGCCCGTGCTGTGGCCCGTGTGATGGGGACGGTTTTGCCCCTGTTTCCGTTGTCCCAGTTCCCTGAACGGAGAAAGGTTCCTTGCCCTAGGAGCACAGGTGCTAACCGATGGCATGCATGGACGTCCGTCCCAGGTGCACCAGGCTCCTTCATTTGTTATGACTGTCATGCTCGCCGTACAGGTACGTGTGCTAATGCTTTGGATATGTCGGGCTGCCCAGGGAGGAGACACAACTTCTCTTTCCTGGGACAGCCCTCCCTCGGGCATGACCTGGTCTACACACGACTCTCGTCAGGTCCGAGTCTGGTCTTTTGCAGGCGCTGCGGTGCCTACAGCACTGAGCGTCTCAGTCGTCAGCTCGAGAAGCAGTGCCGAGGCTACGTGGTGTCTTCTGCCAGTAAATGTCGCCTCAATCGTATGCTCCGAGGCCTCCACCCCCAGTCCAACCGTGCCGCACCAGGTGTAGTGCTCCACATACTAAGTGATATGGAGCGCCAGAGGCTACTTGAGACCCAGCAGCGCCCTCGACGTGCTGTGTGGCTTCAGCGTCCTCAGGGTGATCTTCCAGGCACGGCTTTAATTCCAGGACTGGAGGGGATGAGGCAGCGGATAGCAGCTCGAGAGGAGGCGCGAGGTTTCCAGGAGCAAGTTTTGAGGGCCCCAGTGCTGCGTTCGAATGCACTGGAGCCCGAGGTCCTTGGGCCCCGTGACCATGCCCAGGGGTCCGTTGCCCCAGAGCAGGGTCTTGATCCTGAGGAGGAGGCCGCTCGCTTCCTCCATGAATGATAAAACGTTTTGCGTTCTACCCCGCGGGGAAAAAAAAAAAAAAAAAAAAAAAAAAAAAAAAAAAAAAAAAAAAAAAAAAAAAAAAAAAAAAACTCCTCCACAATTACTCAATATGAATACTACTCTCCTCCTTCCCCTGATGACGGGTTGGGAGTGTTCGCCCCCCCCCGCGTACAGTTTTTTACACAGGGTTCCCCGGAGTTGGGTTTTCGCCTGCATTTTTTTTCAAAATGCTGCTCTCGCTGAGGCGCCGTCCTCATTTTCGGGCCCCGCTCGTTCCGAATCGTGCTCCCGCTGCAGCGCTAGCCTCATTTCCGTGCTTCCGCTCGTTCCGAATCGTGCTCCCGCTGCAGCGCTGGCCTCATTTCCGCGCTTCCGCTCGTTCCGAATCGTGCTCCCGCTGCAGCGCTGGCGTCATTTCCCGTGCCATGCCACGGCATGCAATGCAATGCAATAGGTTGCGTTCCGCTGCGCGATGCCATGCCTTCAGCTGAAGCTGTGATATGCAGTGCTTAAGTGCCACGTCGTGCTATGCCATGCTACGTTTTGATCTTCAACGCCATGCTATGCAATGTTCTGTTCGGGGCCGCTGTGCGATGCCATGCTTTGCGTTGCAAAGCTTTGTGATGCAATTCTTCACTACGCCACGCCTCGCCATGCTGTGACATACTACGCTTTGCGGTGCTCTTCTACGCCATGCCATGCCGTGCTCTACAATGCATCGCGTACCCTTTCGGGATCATTGCCCTGCTCGACATCCGACTGTGCGAGTAGAGAGGGGATCTACGCCATGGTAAGGGATGGGAAAGAGTGGTAGGATGTCAGATATGACGCGAGCGCACCTAGCTTGTCCTTCTCCCCCTCCCCCTCCTCCCCCCCTCCTCCCCCTTCCCCCCCGCCCCCTCCCCCACGGGAGGGCCTCCCAGGGCGGCGTCCCTCTTCCTCCTCCTCTTCCGCGCGGCCTGAGCCCTCGGCATCGCTCGGTCGTGTGCATTTTTCAGCGGCGAGGACCATCGAGGAGCACGTTGCTCATCTTGCGAGAAGACACGCGCACGACATCGAACAATGCACGGGAAATGAACGTCCGTGCGATGGCAAGACCCATGCCAAGAAACACCTTGCTTGCCTCCAGGGTGCCCTGGGTTTCTTGGGTTTCGATGGTTCTGCCATGGAGAGCGTGACGTTCCCACGCCAGAAATCAGTGGACGTCCTGGGGTTCCAGAGTTGGGCTTTTCTTGTGGACGGTTTCTTGTGGTCGAGCTCCTACTGCAGGCCTCAGGTGATCGTTTTCTGATTCATTGTTTTGCCGATCGGCGCGGGCCCTCGCACTCCCTCTCCCCCCGACCCCCCTATGGACTAGATCTTGACTGTTTTTGGCGCCTGTTTTCAAGCACAGGCGGAGTCTCCCTCACACGGCGCACTTCTGCAAACTGTCGCACTGAGCGAAGGTCCAGAGCCAGACCCCCCCTCCCCCTTCCGGCCAATGTCGAATCGCCGAACAAGAAAGCGTTCACTTGCCTCAGCCTTCTTCCTTCCTCCCTTCTCCTCGTCCTCGTCCTGGCTCGCCTGCTCGACGACGTCGTCTTTCGTGGAAGCTCGGCGTCGTCGTCGTCGTCGTCGTCCTAGTCGTCGTCGTCGTCGCCGTCGTCATCGTCGTCGTTGTCATCATCGTCGCCGAATGTCGTCGTCGTCGAATGTCGTCGTCGCCGAATGTCAAAACGTCGAATACGTGAACGTTGACCAGAGAAGCTGTTTTTCTGCGCCTATGCTTCCTCCTCTGCTTCCGGGGTTGAGTTTCTTGTGGACGGTCGAGCTCCTACTGTAGGCCTCAGAGGAGCTGCCGTTCTGCTGCTGTGCTTCCTGCGGGCCGCGCCGAGCTGCGTCCCCGCAGCAGCAGCCGCGGGGACGGCGGTGCTCTCTCTCTCTCTCTTTCTCTCTCGCCTGGCATCGCTCGGGCGTGTGCGTTGCTTTTCTCGACGAGGACCAGCAATGAGCATCCTGTATCATATCGGGGCTCAAGAGACGGGGGTCAATGCAAACGGGGGTCAGTCAGAGCGCCAGATCTTGCAGGATCCTGCAGGGCTCGGCGGGGGTGCACTGACCCGGGTTTGGGTGCAGGATCCTGCAGGATCCTGCAGGATCCTGCAGGATCCTGCGGAGCCCGATTGACCCGGGTTTGCATCGACCCGGGTCAATAGATTCCCGATCACTTGGCCAAGAAAAACCGCACGGAGCAGAACAAAAGCACGGGGAACTGGCGAGCTCTGAAGTTGGGTTTTCTGGCCCGAAGGTTTCTAGGCCTCCTAGATGGGGTCGGAGTAGGTGGGGTCGGAGGATCGCGCTGCATCGGCGATGCGGCTCAATGCGGAGCCCGATTCGCTTCACGTCGACTTCTCCGATGCATCGCCGACGTCGACGGTGCGATGCATCGCCGATGCATCGGCGATCTGCCGACCCCGCCTGCTCCGACCCCATCCATCACCACCCACCAAACCACCCCAACCCAACCCGAAGGCCTCAATTTGCCCTCCATTTCCAGTTGGGGGGGTCGGGGAACACTGAAAAAACACATGTGGAGCCCGTACCCCCCCCAACCCGAAATTGGGGTCTTCGGGTTGGGTTGGGGTGGGCTGGTAGGTAGTCAATCCAGGAGGCCCGGTGCACCCGCGCGGAGCCGAAGAGAGGCACGGGGAGCGGGCGTCCGAGCGAGGGCGAGTTCGGAAGAGGTTGGGCTCTCTGGCCGGGAGGCTGGGGGAGGGGGGGGCCCTGTGCCGCTGGGCGGTGCGGGGGCTGCCCCCGCCGAAGCTCTGCTGCCAGCAGGCCCAGCCGCGTGCCCGCTCGAAGTGTCCTATACTGGCGCTAGTTGACGCCCGAAATGGGTACGTAAAGAAGGGGTACTATGCCCAACAGAGGATCTTGTTCATTTTGAACAGGGCTCGCTGTCCACGCCGCCGCGGCCTGTGTCCATTCGAGACAGGAGGCCGCCTGCCCAACAGCGGCCGCTGTTGGTTTGGGACAACATTTGCTGTTGGGCATTGTACCCATTTTTTCGGTACCCATTTCGGGCGTCCAAACAATTGCCCTTTCGGATGCATCTCCTGTGAGGTCAGGTTCTGCAGTGGCGCTGGTGTGTCCATGATCGAAGACCAGCTTTTCTCTGGCATGCACCGTACTGCTTTCTCGCTCGGTCCAGCTCCATCCGGCCTCGTTGTGCTGATTCTCTTCCAGTCTGGCTTGAGTTGGTTGATCTTGGATGTATTCCGGCCTGGCCCGGGTTAATGGCCCCTCACATGTGGTTTGGTCGCCCTATTGGCTTTTTGCGTCATCTTAGGAGTTGCCTCCTGACCCTCGGCGGCGAAATCCGAACTCCACCCTCGCTGATCAACGATTCTGATAACTCGATGGGCGGCGGGGGCAGGTTTCGAAATTCCTCGTACCTGTGGCGAAAGCCGAACCCTACCACCGGCTCCCATAGATGCAGGAGAGTCGATGTCGCCACCCGAGACCATCCCCTCTCAGGAGCGAACGAAGGATGCACACGCACTTGAATCCACGCTGGTCTCGAGAGGGCGCATTGCACGAACCTTCGGATCACGAGGCTGGTCTCGCGGGTCGGGGTGCCGTGCTCTTGCACGTGATCAGCTGTCCTCCCGTGGGCCCCCCTGTCGGGCCCTCCCCCCCCCGCCGCGCCGCCGCCCGCGCCCCCGCTCGCAGGGCGCCGCGGCCGGGGTCCAGCAGCTCCGGGACAAGCTCCTCGGGCTGATGGTCGGGCGGGGGCGGGCGGGGGGGCGGGGCGATCGGAGGGCGGAGGCCCGCGGGGAGGGGGGGGGGGCGGCGGCCGCGGCCGTGCGGTGGGCGGGGACGGGCGCTGGGCGGGCGCGGCGGGGGCGATATTATGCAGGGTCTCGCCGCCGCGAAGGACGCGTGCAGGCCTGTGGCCGGCGAGGCCGGCGCCAGAAGGTGTGGGCCACCTCGGGCGGGGCCAGGACGAGGATCGATTTGAGTCGGGCCTGTCCCTGTATCGGTTATAGCCAGGACCCCGGGTAAGGGGACCCGGTTAGTGGTAGGGCCCTGGGGCCCCTTAGTTGGCCAGATTCACTAAACCAGGTTTGCCGTAACTGGTGTTTTTCGGGTAACGGCAGTTCCGGTTAGTGGAAATGGGAGGGGGGGGCGCCCCCGGTACAAATCACTGAACCAGGTTCCGCTAAACCCAGTTCTGCCAATGCCCGACTGTAGACATCACAGACATTGCCCTCGCGCCCGGGGGAGGTTGGGGGGGGGCAGCCTCGTTCTCTCGGGCGTCCCGCAGGAGGGGCAGGAGGGGCACCAGCGGGGGCCCAAGAGGAAGGCGCAGGCCCTCCATGCACCTGGGGGGCCCCCAGTGGGGGGGGCCCATGCTCTGGAGGCCTGGAAACGGGCACCAGCACCAACACAGGGGGTGGTTGCCTCCACGGGGGGGAGAGGATCCCAGATTTCGGCGCTGCCGGTAGTGCTTCGGTCACCTTGGAAGCCAGAATACATTCCCACCATCGCCGAGATCGGGGATCTCCTTCCCACGGTGGAGGCGCACCGCGGATCTCGGTGCTGGTGTCAACCTCGTGGGCCTGCGATGCACCTGCCTGGCCCCTTCCTGCAGGCCCCCCCCCCCGGCCCCGCCGCCCCCCCCTCCCCCCCAAACAGAGCACTTGCCGCCGCTCCGGCGCCCACTCTCCCCGCGCATCTGCTGCCTGGCCTCGCACGCGTCCTGGCCAAGATGGCCCCGGATCGCCCCAGAAAGTACTGGGAAGGCCCGGGTGAGCATAGATGACTACCTACAGGCCTCGGAACAAATTAGCGAACACATATGCCACATTCATCCGTCAACGCCTCCCCCTCCCCCCAATTTTCAAAGTTGACGGTGGGTCTGATGAGATGCACTTCGACCGCGGTCTCCCCCGCGCGTGCCAACATTGAGTTTGGGGGGAGGGGGAGTGTTCAGTAATTGTTTCCCTCTACCGTACCAGACCACCCAACCAAACCCGAAGACCCGAACTTGACCCGAGTTTCGGGTTAGGAGGGGTACGGGTCCCAGGCGTTTTTTCAACGTTCCCCGACCCCCCCACACTGGAAATGGAGGGCAAATCGAGGCCTTCGGGATGGGTTGGGGTGGCTTGGTGGGTGGTGATAACTCGAGACTCTCTTGAGATCCGGCGGCTCTGGAGGCTGTATCGGGCGTGGCGGCCTTCTCAGAGCGTTCCGGCATGCTCTGGGAGCGTTGCGAAAAACGGCCTGGAACGGAACTGTCCTTAGGTCGGGCATGTCCCCTACAAACAATTTGTTGACAACAAATTGTAAGTAGAAAAAAAGACTGAAACATGGTCAACATTCACTCCAAAAACTACCCCCCGAGTATTTTTTGCTATTTCTGAATCTACTCCTCCAGTACATGTATCTATGCAGCAGTAAGCTGAGGAAACACAGCTAATGCTGGGCCAACCGAAGGCAGCCCTAAAAGCTCTGGAGAGCGCCGGTGGGGCTGATCCCGCATCGGCAGAAGGATTGTTAGCCTCGCGCATCCACGAAGCTAAAGCCAAGCAGAGAGATAACTACGCGGCAAAAGTCTGGGCCTTGGGAGTGGCGCCGTACGGCCGAGGCGCGCCAGACAGGGATACACGTCGGTCGTTGAGAGCAGGTATTTTTCTGGGTCCCCAGGTCTCAATCTGCTTCAGGCGCCTTCCTCCCTCAAGAATCGATGCGCTTTTGCTGGATTCTGTCAGTCTCTAGAACGGCCCTGGACCCAATCTACTTTGTCCGCCTTCCTACTTCTTGTTTTTATATACTTCTTCCGACCGACGTGTAAACATAGCCTCTGGGGATCCGATATGCATCCATGCCCAGGGCGCCTCGGATTTCAGGGGAAGGGAGCCCCCAACCCCAACCTGCAGTGAATTTGGACACGAGTCTTTCCCGCACCGGGGGTGGGTCCAGAGCTTCCATGGTCGTCGGGTTTGGGGAACGGCCCTCCAGTTGAGGTCTGGGGGGTCGAGGGGATGGAGAGTTGGTCTGGGCATCGGCGGCGAGCGAGGGGCGGCGGTGAGAAGGGGCGGGCCTTCTCTGAAGGCTCGGAAGTCCACCGGCCTCCTAAGAAGTTGTCAAAGCCTTGCCCGAAGACACAACATACTTCTTAGAAGTCCCGCCGCCTTCTGAGAAGGCCTTTTTCCTCTCACTTCCCCCCTCGCTCGCCGCCGAGGGCAGGCGGGGAAGGCTTTTCCTCCTCCGCCCATTCCGCAGGAAGAGGCGGAGGAGGGGGAGGAGAAGGGGCCTGGAGTGATCGGGAGGGGGAGCAATGATCAGGTGCCGCACCGCGGAACTGTTGGGGACCACGGGATCCTCGGTCGTCGTCGAGGCACTGACTTTTCAGTGGGCGCTCGAAAACGTGGACGCGAAACGTCCAGTGTGAGCAGCCTGTTGTATCTGACAATGGGAATCCAGAAGATAATGTATGTTGTTCTCCCTCCCCCTCATTCTTCCAGACCTTTCGCCCTAACCTTCCGCCCCTTTCTCCATGTGATCTATATACGTGAGTTTCTTTGAATTCAGTCAGGTTTCCATGTCTGTTCCTCCTCCTTCTCCTCCCTTTTATGTGTACTCATCCTTCTCCTGCTCCTCCTCCTCTTCCTCCTCCTCATCCTCCCTTCTCATCCCCTCCTTAGCGCCTCGTGGACGGCCCGCTCGTAGACGTCCAACTCTACTAGCTGGGACGGGATCTCCCGCCCAATGATATTGACCGCCTTCACCAACCCGTTTTCAGGAGGAAGGCGCACAAGCCCCCTTTGACGAGAGGCCACAGACCGCTGCCAAAGTTCAAACTGACCTCCCTTGTCGACGAAAGGGATTGCGTCAAAACGATCCCTCTCGTCGACGAGGGGGGTCAGTTCGAAGCATTGGCATCGGTCTGTTGCGTCTCCCCTGGCTTACTTCCTTGCCATTCGAGTCCCTGCAAATTGGGCGTCAGTAATCGGGGCGGTAGCTAAGGGGCTTCTTCAAGCGAGAGCGGGGTGACAGGGCACTTACCTTGTGGGAGTGCGTGGTAACATCGGGACGACAGAAACGTCGATGCATCGTCATCACTCTGGGTGGGGGAATTTGCCTCGCAACTGTGCGCGGCAAGTCAGTAATCCCCCCCAACAAAAACTCCATTGGACAGCGCACCCTTGGCTGCCGGCCTGTCTACCGGCGCCGCGCTTGTTGGGGCTCTTGGGCCCCGCGCCGTCCAGCCGCCACATGGCTGGACGGCGCCGGGCCCTCGACGACCGCGGTGGTCGCCATTCGGGGCGCGGCCGCCCCACGGGGCGACGGAGCAGAGCGGGTCTCACGCGAGATGGAACAGCGACTTCACGCGATGGCTTGCAGTTCAAGCAGTGGCGAAGCGGCCCGGCTCGCCTATGGGCCCACCCAAGAATGGTCTGAGAATCTATTGTGGTTTGCACGCAATGTTCTCAGAACATGTTTGGCTGAGTTTGTCTTGCTTTAACACATCGGGCTTATGTTCTAATATTTTTTCGTTCTTAGAACATTTCTGGGTTCTAGGCATTTTTCGTGGTAGGCCTATAGGAATGCCGGGACGGTCGGTCCTTGCTCAAACAGTGGAGGCCCATGCCAAGAAACACCCAGCTTGCCTCCAGGGTGCCCCGGGTTTCTTTGGTCTCGCACGCTTTGCGGTGGAAAGCGTGGCGTTCCCGCGCCAGAAACCAGTGGACGTCCTGGGCTCCTAGGCGTGGGTTTCTTGTGGCAGGCTTCTTGTGGACTGGCGCGGCACGCCACAGTGGAAGCGAGGGCAGCTTGCGCGCGAGGGCAGCTTGCGCGCGAGTGCCGGCGCCGTGGAGCTCGCTTCTCTGCGTCGCTCGGGGGAGGGGGTGGCGGCCCCCGGCCCCTGGCCTCCTGGGGGCCGCAGCAGGCTTTGAGCCGGCGTGCCCCTCCCCCCCTTCCACCCCTCGTGCATCTGCGGGGTGTCCCTGGCGATGGTGCTGGCGATTGCGGCGTTGGCATGGCGGAGGCGACGGTAGTGCTGCTGGGGGGATGAGATGTGCCGGTAGGACCATCCCACGGGCGATGATGCGGTTGGGGGGGAGGGGGAGGCGGTCGACTTGCGATGGCTCTGGGTTTTTTGGTGATTTCTTTAACGTCCCTGTGGCCCACCCATCTATCTATCGACCTATCGATCGCACCATCTATTCAGGGCACCCATCTGTCTGTCTACCTACCAATCGATATACATATATAAACATATGTATACATGTATATACATGCATCTATGTATATACGTATATGTAGTTATCCATCAATATGACACGCTGGCACCGCTTGTTAGTTATCATGTTGGTGACGTGATCGAAGCGATGAGGCATGATTATTTTCGCTGCGTGCTGGTGCACAATGGCGCGATGCCAGCGTCACTTGGTGTCGTGCCCACTTCTATGCCGAACGCCCGAGGCGTCTACTGCGTGCTGGCGCATGCTCTAACGGCTGTGCATTCGAGAACCAAAAACCTCTAATGCAAGCCCACTCCCGCTGCCAAACCCTGCACGCCGTACACCTCGTACTCACTACCTGGTTCCCGCTGGCAGAACCTATCAATCAGTCAATCAAGCGATCGATCCGTTTATCAATATACCTATCCATGAGTATATCAAGCTACCAATCCATAGACCGATCAATCTATCCAATGTATCCATCAATCTATCAGTACATAAATATAGCAGCGAATCAATATATTAATACATTTTGTATATACATCTCCATTTACATATCTGTCTATCAATAGTTCTTTATATATATATATATATATATATATATATATATATATATATATATATATATATCAGTATTCATAAATGTGTCGATCTAGGAATATACATATATACATATACATATATATATGTCTGTATACTGGTTCCCTGTATGCGTATACCCGTCTTCCCCCCTTTGGCCAGGACACGCCGCCCCAACACGTCCGTAGCCTGTTTGGGCTTTAGGATCCATGCATTCTTCGGGGTCACGGCCACGAGTGTCTCGGTGGCCGCGAGGCCTGCTGCGAGGCCCGCCATCCGCCCTCCTCGCGCTCCTGGCGGCAGCACTGGGAGGCGCGGGCCGCTCGGCTGACTCCTGGCAGGCGCGAGGCTGGGTGGCCCAGGCGGCTGTCGAGGACCTCGACGGTGGAGACGAGGACCTCTGGGAGGCGCCGGAGGCCGTCGTGCCCGCGCCCTTGGAGGACGGGCCCGTGCCGATCGTCCCGTTGGCGGTGGCCCAGGGCAAATGCTACTGCAGCACGGGCTACACAGCAGGCGGCCTTGAGCAGTGCCTGTTCGGGTGGCGGGCGCTGCGTGTCTCCAGCGCAGAGCTGCCGCTGCGCTTCGTGACGGCCGAGTTCCTCTTCAGCGACGACGGCTACTGGGACTGGTGGGCCAGCCACCCTGGGCAGCTGAGCGCGGTGACAGAGCGCCCGCTCATCTACGTGTGCTCGGAGAGCCCGTGCTCAGTCGTGGAGGGGCCGGGGACGTGCACCGAGCTGACCCACGTGGCGGACGTGGAGGAGCTCGGCCTCACGGACCTGCGGGCGCTGTTCGTCGAGTGTCAGGAGGCGAACCCAGAGGCGGCTTGGCCAGCAGCATGCCTCGGGCCGCTGGTCGCCGCCGCCGCCCCCGCGAGGCCCGCTGCGGTGGCCAAAGCGACGGGTCGCTCGCCAGCCGCAGCAGGTCCTCCCAGGGCCCCGCCTGGCGCTGCCCCATTCGACGACTTCCTGAGCGTAGGAGGCTCGTCGCGCGGCCCTGGCTCAGAGCTGGCCGCAGACGAGGAGGCAGTTGCCGCGGGCGGCCTGGGAGGCAAGCTCGCAGGGGCTCGTGTGCGCCTCGAGGAGGGGAAGCGGGCGGCTGGGGACGTCAACCTGGACGGCTTCCCCCTCGAGCGCGCCGCGAAGCTCAAGAGGGCCGCCTCGGACGTGGGCCCCCGAGGGTCAGGGGGCCCTGTGCCTGAGCGGGCGCCGCCAGGAGCTGGTCTGAGCGGCGGCATAGCGGAGCTGGCGCAGGCGCTCGTGATGGCCATCCGCGAGGGCAAGGAGGCTCCCCCTGGCGACATCGGCGGGGACGGCCTGGGCTCCTCGGACCCCGCCGCGGTACCGCGCGACCTGGCCACGGAGAGGGCCTTCTGTCGTCGGATGGCCGCCGCCCCCCCGGGCCGCCTCACGGAGCTGAGCCTGCAGCAGATGGCGGACTTCCTGGGCTCACAAGGGGGGGGGGGGCGGCCGTCGGCGCGACGGGCCCGATCGCGCTGCCGCACCTCCTCACGATCTACCTGCCGCAGCATCCGGTGAAGGAGATCGGCGTGCAGACGCACCGCGAGCTCCGCACCCTCGCGGAGGCGATGGACCTGCTGATGCAGGGGAAGGCGGCCCACGCCTGCGACCTGATCGTCCAGCGCCTAAAGGCGCTGCAGGTGGCAACGACGGACGGCTCGTGGGCGGCGGCGAAGTGGTTGGAGCTGATCCCGCCGCGCGACGAGCCCACGGCCATCCGCAGCGAGGAGGAGGAGCTCATCCGCAGCATCCAGCTCGGCGAGATGAGGCTGGACGAGCTCTCCGCGCGCCTGGCCTCCGCCAAGACGCCGGGATAGGGCGGAGGCCCGACGGGGGCGCGCCCGCCGCTGGCGCCTCCGTCTGTTGGCCAGGCAGGGGGGGCACCCCCGGCGACAGCGCAGGCAAAGGGACCTGGGGGGCAGGCCCCCCGCCAGCCGCGGGCTCGGCCGCCCCGCAGGAAGGCTTCTGCGGCAGCTCCACCAGCCCCCCTGGCGGCGGCCGCGGGCGGGGCTCCCCCGCGGGCCGAGGGGTCGGCAGCCTCGCCGCCGTGGAAGATGTCCTTCGCGGGGATGCGGAAGGAGTTCCCGAAGCAGCCGGGGGAGACGAACACCCAGCACCGCCTGCGAGCCTTCAAAGCTCGTGCGGCGGCGCGCCCCCGTCGGACCTGAGCGGCGGCAGCCTGCCGCCTGCCCCGCGCTATGGTGGAGCCTCCTCAGGGAGGGTGGCCGATGCCTCCATCAAAGGCGCGAGCCCTGCGAGGGGTGCTGGTGGGGGAGTCCGCGGCGTGGGCCAAACTCGGTTTACCGAGGGCAGAGATCGTGCCACCCTATGCGAGGGGGGTGAGGGCGTCGCGGAGCCCCCGCTGGCCACCGCGCTGCAGTGCTGGTCCGACGGGCTCTCCCTCGGCTTCGGCAAGAGCATCGTCGCGGTCGACCTGGCGGCGCAGCTGGCGGCAGCAGTGCGACGCCACCCAGGCAGCCTTGGCCACTTCGCTCGGTCGTTCAGCATGCGTGCGGACACATTTTGTGGGAGCGGAGGGTCGTCGAACAGGAGGGTTCGGGACGCCCTGCCGCTTCCCCTTCCGTCGACCGAGGAGGTGGACCGCTGGCTGGCCCACAGTGCCTTGCCCAAGGCACGCAGGTGCCGCCGCCGCGCCGTGGCGCGGGAGGTCAGCGAGCAGGCGTGGCTGCACCTCAGCGCGGTGGCGCTCAACTATGCGTTCTGCGGCCGCGCGCAGGAAGGCTGGCGCCACAGGCCGACCCTGTCGAAGGCGCAGACGCAGGTCTACGTGCACTTGAAGAGCCGAGCGGCGGCCCTGGCGGAGGACCCGCTTGCCATGGTCGTGGCCCCTGCGATCGACGAGCTGGCGGGCGGCTGCGGGTCAGCGTACGAGGGCAAGACGGGCATGAAGGCTCTCCCCTGCTGGATCTGCGGGCTGGCCCCTGGCCCGCCCACGCGGGAGTGCGCTGCCACGCTCGACGCGATCGACTTCGTTGACGACGAGGTTGGCGCCTGGCTGCGCCGCCCCGAGCTGGCGCTCTTCGACCAGTCCGACTGGCCCGACCCGCTGCCGCGGGCCCGCGTGAACGTGGAGACGGAGGCGGACTGGGAGGAGCTGGCGCTGCACCTCGTGTCGCTCGGCATCTTCACCACGCCCGCGGAGAGCGAGCTGGTCCGCGTGAGGAGCAAGCCCGTGCTGAACGGCCTGTTCGCGGTGGAGAAGAAGGGCACCCCAGCGCCTGGCGCCACGCGGGCCACCAGGCTCATCCTCAACATGGTGCCAGGCAACTCGCTCCTGAAGGCCCGCGTGGGCGAGGCGGCGCTGCTCGCGGCCTCGACGTCCTGGACGTCGGCCGTGATCCCCGAGGGGAAGCTGCTGCTGTGGTCGGGCGACGACCAGAAGGGGGGCCTTCTTCGTGTGGCGGGCCCCGCCCGCGTGGCACCCCTACGTGGCCGTGGGGCGGCCGTTCGCGGGCAAGCTGTTTGGCCGCTCGGAGCCCGTCGTCTACGTGACCTCGGCTGTCATCGCCATGGGCTGGTCGCTTGCAGTGCCCGTTTTCCAGCACATCCACCGACGGCTGTGCCGCCTGGCGCCGCCCCTCGGGGCGGGGTTTCCCCCGGGCGGGGAGTGGCGCAGGGATTGCGCGCGGCCCCTGGTCGAGGCAAGCAGCGGCCAGGACGCTGGCTGGTGGCAGGTCTACATCGACGACTTCGATGCGCCGGAGATCGTCGAGGAGGTTTTGGCCCGCAAGCTCGTGGGGGCCCCGAGCGACCTCCAGCTGCAGGTCCGCGCCAGCCACGAGAGGGCGAGCGCCTCCTTCTCGGCCGAGAAGGCGCACTGCAGGCAGCTGAGGGTCGAGCGCATGGGCGCGGACGTCGACGGCGTCAGCGGGCGCCTCGCGGCCCCCGCCTCCAAGGCGCTGGCCACTGCGGGCCTCTGCTTGGCCGCAGTGCAGCGGCGCCTGGTCCCGTGGCGCGTTGCCATGGCGGCCCTCGGCAAGCTCGCGAGGGCCTTCGAGTTCAGGCGGCCGCTCTTCGGGGTCCTGAACTCCGTCTGGACGCTGGCTGCGTCCTCAGCGCAGGGGGCTTACCTGGACGCGGAGATGGTGGAGGAGCTCCTAATGGGCGTGATGGTCCTGCCGCTGGCCGCCTCCTCGCTGCGGGCGCGCATCGACAGCGTGGTCACGTCCTCGGACGCGTCGGAGATGGGCGGCGGCGCGTGCACGTCAGCCGGCCTGCGCGAGGATGTCACCGCCGCCTTGCAGGTGCCGAGGACGGTCCCCGACCAGCGGGGGATAGGGGCCAGGCTCCTCAACGTGCCCGAGGACCCCGCCCGACCGTGGGCGGCAGCCAACCCACGCGTCCCCGCCAGGGCAGTCCGCAGGGTGTTGTCGGTGCTGCTCATCGGCCTGTTCGACGGCATCGGAGGCCTCGCCGTCGCCGTCTCGAGGCTGCCCTTCCGCATCGCGGCCTACGTCGCGGCCGAGACGGACGCCAAGGCGAGGCGCGTTGTCAGGCTCCGCGGGCCAGGTGTCATCGACTGGGGCGACGTCACCCGCGTGGGCAGCGAGACGGTGCGGAACCTGTTCGAGGCGTTCGGCGGCCTCGTCGACCTCGTGGCGGTCGCTGCGGGCAGCCCCTGCCAGGACCTGTCACGCCTCAACGTCGGCGGGCGCGGCCTCAGCGGCAGGAAGTCCTCGCTGTTCCACGAAGTGCCGCGTATCCTGGCTCTCCTCGCCGCCGTCTTCCGGGACAGGTTCGTTTGGTTCGTGGAGAACGTGGCCAGCATGTCCGACGTCAACGTGGAGCTGATCTCGGAGGCGCTGCAGGTGAGACCGACGCTGGTGTGCTCGTCGGTGTTCGTGCCGTGCCGCAGGCCGCGCCTGTTCTGGACGAGCTGGGGCGTCACCGCATCGGCGCCTCTTCGGCTGACCGACCGCGGGGTCTACGACGAGCTGGTGGGCCCTGGCGTCCCGCTCATGGACCGCGCGTGGGAGGACGAGGGCTGCTCTTGGCCAGGGAGACCGAGGTACACCTCCCTAGCCACCAAGGGCTCGAACCCTCAGGACGCCTCCGACGCCAGGGCCTTCCTCCTCGGCAACAGCTTCAGTATTCACGTCGTGGCATGGTTGTGCCGGCAACTCCTGCACCGCCGCGGCGCGCTGAGCAGGGAGCTGTCGATAGAAGAGGTGTCCCCCGTCCGCGAGTGCCGGGCGACGTGGGACCAGGCGGGGGCCTTCGTCACGGAGCCGGGGGAGCCGGACACCGCGGAGGCGAGGCAGCTGGTCCTGCACTACCTCAGCCGCGCGGAGAAGGGCGGGTCGGACGTCAGGCTGGACTACGGCGTTCTCTACCGCCCGCGAGGTTGGCCGAGGACGAGCCTGGGCCCGTTCGTGTGGAAGTGGCGCGTGGTGGTCAGCATGGCGTGGCCCAGCCGGAGCTCCACCCACATAAGCGTGAGCGCCCGCAAGGTCGCGCAGCACGGGAGCAGGTTCTTGCACCTCGTCGGCAGCCAGGTGGTCGCGGCCATCGTGACGAGGGGCCGCAGCAGCAGCAGGAAGCTCCAGCCCATCCTGAAGCGCTGGATGGCCGTCGTCGTGGCGGCCGACATGTACCCACTGATCGGCTATGTGGTCTCGGAGGACAAACCTGCGGGCGAGCCGTCGAGGAGGCTGCTGCGGCGTGGCTCGAAGCCCAGGAGGCGAGGGCGACCCGTGCCGCGCGCGCGGCCGCTCACCGCAGGCCCGTGCCCGTGAGGCGCCGCGGGACGCGCTGCCAGACTCTCTCTCCCCTGAGGGTGTCGGCGGAGACGCGGCGGCGCTACGGGCGGGCCCTGCGGGCCCCGCTGGCCCGCTTCGGAGCCGAGCAGGCGGGGGCGGACGCCTTGTGCAGCGACCCCGAGGACGCCGACGCCCTCGTCGCGGAGTACCTCGAGGGCCTGTGGGCCTCTGGTGCGGGCATCGCGGCCGCCAGCAACACGCTGGCAGAGGTGTGCTTCGCGGCGCCTCGTCTGAGGCGACACCTTGACCTGTGCTGGGCTCTCCTCAGGGCATGGAGGCAGCATGGGCCAGCGTCCAGGCGGAGTTCGCTTGCGCTGCAGGCGCTTTCGACGTGGCCGCCCTCCTTCTCGTCAACCTTGAGGGCATGCTCCAAGGCGCGGAGGTGTTTGCCCTGACGGTGGGCGACATCGTCGACCGCGGCGAGCTGTTCGTGGTCCGGATCAGCTCGTCCAAGACCACAGCTGGCAAGGACTGCGCGGAGGCAGTCGTCGTCCGCAGCAGGATGGCCGTGGCGCTCCTGCGGACGCCTGGTGCAGGTGCGCGGCCTTGGTGCAGGTGCGCGGCTCTCCACCGCACGCCTGTACCTCGAGGGCGCGGTGGCCGGCTCAGTGCGCGCCCAGCCCGGGAGCGAGGCAGCCCGCGCCGTTGCGCGAGGACTGCGGCTCCTGCAGCTGGCCACTGTAAAAGGCCACTGCTTGCGCCCAACAGTGCTTGCCAAAGTCGGGCGTTTGTCTTCGCTGCGGCGAAGGCAACCGCCCTCCCGCCGTGGGGCCGCGTGGCTCTCTCTCTCTCTCTCTCTCTCTCTCTCTCTCTCTCTCTCTCTCTGGTCCTGGTTTCCTGGGGCCCCTGGGCCCGCCCGTTGTGTGGGGCGTTCTCTGTTTGGGGTCCACGCCCGTCTCACCTCCTCCGCGCTTCGTGTCGCCTCCTCCCGTCGCCTCCCCCCGTCGCCTCCTCCTCGAACGTGCCAACCCTTTCGGGGCCCAACGGCCGTGAGAACGGGACCCAGAGGGGGGGATAACACTCTGCGCGGCCTGCCCTTTGGGCGTTGCCGCGCCGCTCCGGCGGCTGCAGAGTGTTGTCCCCCTACTGGGTACCGTCCTCACGGTCTTTGGACCCCAGAAAAGGCTGCCGTGCCGTGCGGAGGGCAAGGGCTGGAGAAGGGCGTGGAGTGGGGGAGTGTGCTGGGGGGCCAAACCAAGGGGCTGCTGGGGGATGTCTGGCACGTCTAGGGCCGCCTTGTGCGGTGCCTGCCCCGCGTCAGGCCTGTGGCCTGGCGCGGGTGGCGTGTCCAGACCTCCCTGGTAGTCCTGTGGTTTGTTCCCCCGCACACCCCCGAGCTAAGGACCGGCAGAAATATGCCATTTTCAGGGGTGGGTGGGAGTTAAACACGGACGGCCTACGTAGCCTTCAGGCCAGTAGGTGGGGGAGTTAGATAGCGTAGGCCCCCTCCCCAGATTGCTGTATGCGAACGGTGGAGGACCACCTCGCACGCCTTAGGTGGCAAGCGCGCGGTGCGGTAGGCGCCGCGTGCTTGCCGCCTAGGAAATGCGTGGCGTAGGGTACCCTTGCATCCCGGTGCGTACAGTAGCTGGGGGGTTTGAGGGGGGTCTAGCCTACTCTGACCATTGGCGTGTCCGCACGCAAAAAGGTGGGGCAGGGTATGTCTGTATACTGGTTCCCTGTATGCGTATACCCGTCTTCCCCCCTTTGGCCAGGACACGCCGCCCCAACACGTCCGTAGCCTGTTTGGGCTCCCGCCCGCGGTCCATCCCTTCCGTGTTGAGGCACGCTTTCTGCTGGTGCCGTAGCCCAGAAGATAGCGTAGGCCCCCTCCCCAGATTGCTGTATGCGAGCGGTGGAGGACCACCTCGCACGCCTTAGGTGGCAAGCGCGCGGTGCGGTAGGCGCCGCGTGCTTGCCGCCTAGGAAATGCGTGGCGTAGGGTACCCTTGCATCCCGGTGCGTACAGTAGCTGGGGGGTTTGAGGGGGGTCTAGCCTACTCTGACCATTGGCGTGTCCGCACGCAAAAAGGTGGGGCATGGTATATATATATATATATCAATTTGCCAAATTATCGATCAAGCACTATATCTACCCAGTTATCTATCAAGCAATCAAACAATTCATCTATCTGCCTATCTACCTTTCTATCTATGAACCATCAGGGCAACAATCAGGAAAACCATCGGGACAACCATCGGGACAACCATCGGGACAACCATCGGTATAACCATCGGGGCAACCATCGGGACAACCATCGGGAAAACCATCGGGACAACCATCGGGACAATCATCGGCACAACCATCGGGACAATCATCGGGCCAACCACGGGGACAACCATCGGGACAACCATCGGGACAACCGCCGGGACAACCGCCGTGACAACCATCGGGACAACCATCGGGACAACCATCGGGACAACCACTAGACACCCGCCGGGACAACCCAGGAGCCACGGCCAGCCGACGGGGGGGAGGGCGGCCTTTTTCGCAACAAATGGCCCCTACTAGTGCAGGAACTCGCGCAGCTTCGCCTCGCCCGCACGCGCGACGCGAACCGAAACCGAAACCGATTTCCTGGTTGGGGTCACTTCCGTTCACGCCCCCCAACCTCCGATGATGACGGCGATGCGGAGGAGCAGGATAAGGGTGGTGCCGGCAATGGTACCGATGACGCTGATAATACCGTCGACGATGGCGATCGTGCGAACATGACGGCGATGATGATAGTGAAATTGACGACGACGATGACGCTGATTGCTGGTCGTTGGTGGTGTGTTGTGTGCTGTTGCGTGCTTTGGGATGTTGTTGTGATGATGGTGTGCTGGTTTGCATGTCCTGTATTGTTGCGCTGGTGGTGTGCGCGCTGTTCGCTTGTTGTGGTACTGCGGTGTTCTTACGTGCGTGCATGCGCCGCCATCCTCATGCGCTGTATATGGTAATCACCTCGCTCTTCATCACACCCTTTATCTTCAGACCGCGTTCTCTTTCTCTTCTTCGCCTCCTCCCTTTTTTCTTATCGCGGCTACCTGATCATCGCCATTCCCTGCCCCTCCTTATGCTCATCGCATACTCATCACATTGTCACCCGCCCCCTACCAGCAGCATCATAACCAGCAGCATCAGTATATCATGTTTGCCAGCATCATCGCCATGGGCAATTTCATAATCAACCACGTCAACCTTATCACCATCATGATCGTCATCCCATCGTTGCTGGTGGGGAGACGCGAAGCGTCAGTAGATTCTGATAGTTAAGCACCCCAGAAAGGACAACAAACGCATCCAAAGACAGTCGAGATATCCAAAGACATGGCAAGACCTCCACGGACACGCGTCACCCTCCGCACCTTCCGCGGATGCCCGAAGGTAATTATGGCAGGTGGAGGGGGAGGGCTGACCCTGAGGTTAATGCCACCGTCGCATCGCACCCAACCTGTGGAAGAGGGGCGGGGGCAGGTCGGGAGGAGGGCGGGGGCAGACCGTTCGAGGCTGCCGGTGGGCGCAGCCGGACCTGGCCGGGTGCGGAGTGCGAGCCGCCGCCTTCTGCGCCGCCCGAGGCCGTGGGGCCTCCGCGTCGGCCACGGCAGCGGTTGCAGCGCCAGCGCGTGCCGCTCGCGGCAGGCCCTGAGTCGACGTCGCCGTCGACGGCGACGGCGCCGGAGCGGCGGCAGCCAGGGGTCAGCGAGCGAAGAACGGTAGAAGATAAACCTTCCGCCGTCGGGGACACCTGCCCCTGGGCGGTTGGAAAGTTTATACCCCTACGGTGCCACCGTAAGGGTATAAACTTTCCAGCCGCCCTGGGACAGGCGCCCTCGACTGTGAGAAAGTTTATTTCATACCGTTCTTCGCCCGTTAAAGGGGGGGATCGGGGGCAGTCTCCCGGAGGGGGCAGGAGCAGACCAACCGGACTTCGCAGGCCCAGCAGACGGAGTTCCTGGGCAACTACATCTCGAAGTGGAGCGCCGGCGGGGCAGGGGGGGCAGAAGTATTGCTGCTGCAGGCCAGCCACAATTGGGGGAGCTGTGGTCCTTACCCCCCCTGGGGGACTCATCGATTTCGACACCCCTCTCGAGAGATCTTCGATGCGATGGGTTCCCAAGGGGGGGTAAGGACCACAGCTCCCCCATTTATGGCTGGTCGGTACTAAGTACTACCCTGCCGCATCATTGTATTTGTTGCTGCGGTTGCTCATTTGTTCCTATTCGGTTTTCATGTTGCACGGATTTGGAAAGCGGCTGTGGTCCTGTAGGGCGTCGCCTCCCGGTCGGGTAGTTTTTTTGCTTGTCGCCGAGCGCCCCCTTGGGGCCGTTGAAGGAGTACTGCAGGCCAGGCCCGACGCGACGGACCACCGCTCGGTACCCATCGTCTAGTAACCCTTCCAGGGTTCCCCAGGAGGAAGAGGAGGTGGAGGAGGAGGAGGAGGAGGAGGAGGAGGGCCCCTCCAACGCGCGAACTGATAGAACAGCCAGTTGATGAGCACCTTGCAAATCGACACGAGCGAAATGGGTACAGAGGTACAGAGAACGGTCACGATGCCCAACGCCAGGTCCTGCTCATTTCCAACAGGTCTCGCAGTCCGCGCCGACGCGGACGTTGTCCATTTCAGACACAATGTGTCGGCCCAACTGGGGCCGCTAATGATTTTGGCAATATTTGTGGTTGGGCATCGTACCCATGTTTTTCGTACCCATCTTGGCCGTCCAAAGTAAATCAGAATGCAGCATGCCTTTGACCCGTTGGACTGGCGAACGTGTACCATGATTCGGGCATGGGATCACTGTCCGGCAACAGGGGAACGCATCGCTCGCGTCGGGGGGGAGGCAAACAGAGCATGACCTTCAAGCAGTTCGTGAGCTCGCTGCAGAGTCTGAACATGCCGACGGATGGCGCTCAGGAGGTGTTTGCTGCTCTCGACCGCGACGGGAGTGGCGCAGTCCACATCCAGGCCGCCGCCTGCCGCTGGCCTCCCTCGCCTCTTTGGCTCATCCCGCCTGCTCGCTTCTCTCTGCTCCTTCCCAGTCACTCACATGCTAACCCGCGCTCCTGCGAGGATTTCAACACTACCCATTCGTGGAGGCAGAGACTCGTCATCGTCGTCATCATTGACGCCTCGGTCTTGCCCGCACATACGCGGCGCCCAGTGACGTTTGGGTAATGGTGTTGCCGAGGGAAGTCATACGTTTCAGTGGGTGGCCATCTTTGTCACCATTCGGCGGCAAGCCCAGGAGGGGAAGCCAGACGAGGTAGGCATGGGAGAAGCCTTGCAAACCTTCTCCGAAGCCACAGACGGCTTCTGAGAAGGCGCCGCCTTCTGAGAAGGCCTGCCCTGTCTCACTACCCCCCCGCCCAGAAGAGCGAAAGCCCTAGTGGTCGCGACCGCATGCGTCCGCGACACCCAGTACAGCGCTTCGTGGCCCCATAGGGAGCTCCACCGAAGGCCCCAGTGGCCGCGGTTGCATGCATCTCCCCTACCCCGCCCAGTACAGCGTTTCGTGGTCCCCGAAGGAGCTCCTCCGAAGGCCCCAGTGGTCGCGTTCGCATGCGGCTCCCCCGCCCAGTGCAGCGCTTCGTTTCGTGGCCCCACAGGGAGTTCCGCCGAAAGCCCCAGTGGCCGCGGCCACATGCACCCCCCCCGGCCCAGTAGCGCTTTGTGACTCCGTAGGGAGCTCCACCGGAGGCTCCAGTGGCCGTGGCCGCATTCGTCTCACTCACCCACGTGAGGGCACCCCACACGCGCTTCGTGGCCCCATAGGGATCTCCACTCAAAGCGGTACCCGCAACGCGGTATCCACAAACGCATACGGCTGGAGCCTGCGCCAGTAGCCATGTCGTTTCCAAGAACCGCTGAGCCCCCGATGGTTTATTCAGTTTAGGGTGGTTTGGGCTCGAGGCTCGCGGCTCGGCTGGCGCTCGGGCGCAGGCGTCGGCCCATCCGTGCTGTTCGGTTCGGGTGGCAGGGTGCGGCCTGCAGCGCCCAAGCCCGTGCGCTTTTTGACGATGGCATCGGGGCAGCGTCCAGGCGGAGCTCTCGCTCCTGCCGATCTTGGAGGGCCAAGTCTACATAGAAGCTGGAAAGAGTGACTGGGCCAGCCCTTCCACTCTTTCCAGACCTGGCCAGTTTCCTTTGATTTTTCCTTCCAGCCCTGGCGACCGCACCCCTACTGTTTCGGGCTCGCTTCCCCCCTTGCCAGTCCTTCTAGCCCTGGCCAATTCCACTTTCACTGATTTTCCAACTTCCACTTATTCCAGCTTTTCTGTACTTGCCTTCTTGGAAGACTTATGTATGGGGCCTATGCTCAATACCGCTCTCACTTTCTAGTCACATTCGTCTATGGATTCACTGGGTGTCGTTACGTGCGTCGACGCATGCGGGGTGGCTGCGTCTACGCCCGATGCGTTCGACGCGGTGCAAGGTCTGAGCAAGGGCCAGTCGGTCCACGGCATGTTCTTGTTATAGAGCAGGTCCCACATTGTATTTCAATGCCGAGCTCTGAAACCGCATCTTCGGGAACCTTGCCTGTCCTGGAAATGGCGGTCTATTCGTGTATCCGACGCAGCTTCGACGCGGGTCCGACCTGGAATCGACCTGGATTCGACGCAGATTCAACGCGGATTCGACGCGGATTCGACGTTGATTCGACGTGGGTTCGATGCGGAAGCGACGCGGACTCGAGTCGGATGGTTGGCGCGATGGGACAGACAAGGCCCCCCGAAGAAGCAACACACCAGTCAAAGTTCATAGTGAGGAGGTGTTGCTACTTTAATGCTTCCCTTGCATACCTGCTTCTTCGGTCCGTCCTGGGCCAATGTTAACGTCTAAATGGCACCATGGAGCTTCCTAATTGTCTTGCATTCTTGCCTGGAATCCTTACTCTGGATTGGCTACAGTCGGACCGAGGTGTAGATACGATCGAGGTCGGCTCGGGGAAGATGCCCAAGTGTTCTTCGTGCTTGTTGGATGCTCTTGTGCATCCTGGGGTTACCAGCCTCGAACGTCTCCCTATCCCTAAGATTAACACGCCAAAAGGCGATGACAATCTTAGAGATTCGCCTTCAAAAAATAAGGGAATCCCTAAGATTGGCATCGTGATGAGGAGGTGCCCAGCATAGGGATAGGGATATGTTCCAGGCTGGTAATGGGGAGGGTACCCTAGGATGTTCTGTGTGTCTTGGCCGGCGGAGGGTCTCCTGCCCTCGAAGGCTGCTCCTCCCGGCCCGGGCCAGGGCCGCAAAAGCTCCCGCCCAGGAGTTCTGCGCCGCGATCTTCGACGGCAGGCCGGGCGGCGGCTACGCGAGCGCCACTGCTGGCCCGATGCGCAGCGGCCGCAGCGACCGATCAGGCCTCGGGGGCAGGGGCGGTCGGGCGGCGGGTCTTCCCTCCTGCTCGGTTCTCGAGATCCTCCGGGGCGGCCCCTGCCCCGCCCCCCCAGGATTTCAGGTCCAGGAGGAGGAGGAGGAGGAGGAGGAGGAGGGAGGAGGAGGGAGGAGGAGGAGGAGGAGAGAGAGGAGGAGGAGGAGGAGGAGGAGGAGGAGGAGGAGGAGGAGGAGGGGGAGGAGGAGGAGGAGGAGGGGGAGGAGGGGGAGGAGGAGGGAGGAGGGAGGAAGGAGAGGAGGAGGGGGAGGAGGGGAGGAGGAGGTGGAGGAGGAGAGGAGAGGGAGGAGGAGGAGGAGGGGGAGGGGGGAGGGGGGGGAGGGGAGGAGGAGGAGGAGAGGAGGAGGGAGGAGGAGGAGGAGGAGGAGGAGGAGGAGGAGGAGGAGGAGGAAGAGGAGGAGGAGGAGGAGGAGAAGGAGGAGGAGGAGAGGAGGAGGAGGAGGAGGAGGGAGGCCGCGGCGGAGCGGCCGGCCGCAGGGCAGCAAGGGCGCCGGCAGGCCGAGGAGCATCGGCGAGGAGGCTTTCTCTGCACGAGCGAAATGGGCACGGAAAGAATGGGTACACTGCCCGACAGTGGATCTTTTTCATTTTGAACAGGACTCGCTGTTCTTTCTCTGCACGAACGAAGACTGAGTGGGTACAATGCCCAAGAGCGGATCTTCTTCATTTTGAACAGGACTCGCTGTCCACGCCGCCGCGGCCTGTGTCCATTCGAGGCAGAAGGCCGCCTGCCCAACAGCGGCCGCTGTTGGTTTGGGGCAACATGTGTTGTTGGGCATTGTACCCATTCTTTCCGTACTCAGTTCGGGCGTCCAAACTTTCGGCTTCGGGTGCTGCTCGAGTCGGGGGAGCGTAAGACTCGAGTAAGGCCGGAGCTCGGAGATCTGCCGACGTTCTTTGACGAGCGCGTCCTGGATATTTTGACGTCTCGGTTTTCGTGGGATGTCTGCAGCGGGAGTTCGCGTCAAGTTTGAGATTGGGTCTCATCATGTGAAAGAGCGTGTTCTACCGCTGCTGGCGGAAAACCGGGGGGGGTCACTGCAGGGTTCCTAACCCGTCCTCCCCCCCCCGCTCGAAAACCGGGGGGGGGTCACTACCGGTTCGAACCCTTCCCCCCGGCCCCCCCCCCAGTCCATCATGAAAAGGAGGGGGGGTCACTACCAGTTCGAACCCCCACTCCCCCTCCGGAAAACCGGGGGGGGGTCACTACCGGTTCGACCCCCCCCTCTGAAAACCGGGGGGGGGGGCCACTACTGGTTCGAACCGCCCCCCCCCCTTTCGCCGCCAGCAAACGATGCCCGCTCCTCGGGACAGTTGGAGAATGGTGGGGGTGTTGGGACAGTGGTGGGAACGGTGGTGGTGGGGACAGTGGTGCGGGGACAGTGGGACTGGTGCGGACAGTGGTGGGGACGGTGGTGGTGGGGACAGTGGTGAGGGGACAGCGGAACAGTGGTGGGGACAGTGGGACAGTGGTCAGGACGGTAGTGGTGGGTTCAGTGGTGAAGGCGTTGGTGAGGACAGTGGTGGGACAGTAGTGCAGTGGGGAAAGTGGTGGGGACAGTGGAGACAGTGGGACAGTGACGGGAACAGGGACAGCACAGTGGGACAGCGGCGGGGACAGTGGGACAGTGGTGGGAACAGTGGGGACAGTGGGACAGTGGTGGGGACCGTGGGGAAAGTGGGGAGAGTGGGATTGTGGTGGGACAGTGGCGGGGGGAGTGGGGACAGTGAGACACTGGTGGGGGCACTGGTGGGGACAGCGGGGACAATGGTGGGAACAGTGGGGACAGTTGGACAGTGGTGGGGACGGTGGTGGTGGGGACAGTGGTGCGGGGACAGTGGGAATGTGGTGGAAACAGTGGGACAGTGGAGGGTACAGTGGTGGTGGCGACAGTGGTGAGGGCGGTGGCGAGGACGGCGGTGGGATCATGGGACAGAGGTACACTAGGGACAGTGTTGGGGACAGTGGGGACAGTGGTGGGAACAGTGGGACAGCTCAGTGGGACAGCGGCGGGGACAGTGGGACAGTGGGACAGTGGGGACAGTGGGACAGCGGTTGGGGCCGTGGAGAAAATGGGGAATGGAACCGTGGTGGGAACAGTGGTGGGGACAGTGGGGACAGTGCGACAGTGGTGGGGGCACTGGTGAGGACAGTGGTGACGTGGTGGGAACAGTGGGGACAGCGGTGGTGAGGACAGTGCATGGTGCTGGGGACAGCAGTGGGGGGTGTGGTGCGGCCGGTGGTAGGGACCTAGAGTTGTTTGCTGGCGGTGAGCCTGGGGGGGGGGAGAGGGGTTCGAACGGGGGGGGGGGGTCGAACTGGTAGTGACCCCCCCTGGTTTTCCGGAGGGGGGGTGTTCGAACAGGTAGTGGCCCCTCTCTGGTTTTCTGGGAGGGGGGAAGGGTTCGAACTGGTGACCCCCATTGGTTTTCGGGAGGAGGGGCGGTTCGAACCGGTAGTGATCCCCCCCGGTTTTCCGGAGGGGGGGGGGGCGGGGGGGTTTGCCGGGGGGAAGGGGAGGGGGAGGGGTTCCATGCAGGGGGGGGATGTTCGGAGGGGGAGAGGGACCCCTGGGTTCCGGAGGAAGAGCGGGGGGAATTTTCCACAGCAAAGCGGCGGTGGATCACGCTCTCTCCATCATTTTCATGATGACCCCGTCGGGCAAACCCGAGTCCCCCGTACCCTTACGTCGGGCCCGTCCCTCTACAGGAGGAATATTCAAAAATAGTCAAAAAATAGTCAGGGGACGATTTTTTCAAGTTTAAAAAAAAAAAAAAAAAAAAAAAAAAAAAAAAAAAAAAAAAATTGGAGCATTTTTGGAGTATTCCTAATTTTTCGTCGAAGATCCCCCTGTAGGGGGTCAGGCCCGACTGAACCGTACCCGAGTTTTGGCGTCTCCCCGATCGAAGTGCCCCTGCCCAAGGGCCCCCGGCTGTTCGCCTCCTTCTGGAGCCCCGGGGCCTCGTGAGGGGGTGCTCTGGAGGTCGTGGGGGCCTCCTTGGAAGCCCTGGGGGCACCCTTCGGGACGACCGAAAGGGGTACAGAAAGAATGGGTACACTGCCCAACATCAGTTCCTGTTCATTTTGAACAAGTCTCGCTGTCGGTCTCGCTTCGGCCTGTGTACATTTGAGACAGAAGGCCGCCTGCCCAACAGCGGCCGCTGCTGGTCACAACATTAGTTGTTGGGCATCGTACCCATTTTTTCGGTCCCCATGTCGGGCGTCCGAAACCCTGTGCCAGGGGCACTTCTCGCCACGCCCGAGTCTGTAGTCGGCTGGGGGTCTGAGGTGACCCAGCACCGGTTCTGGCCAGCAGCAAGGGGGGGCAGGCTCGAGGTTCTGGGTTCGGGAAGGTTTTTTATGTGTCTCTGGGGGCCGTTATCGGGTCCCAGGACCGTCAAACAACGTGTCCAGGGTGACTCAGAAGGGAAAAAAACATACAGATAATCGTCGATTCCCTAGAACATATAGGAAAGTATGGGAAGTGGGGGGGAAGACAGAGACCCAGAAAATATAGGAACATATGGACAACCTTGTTATGTGTGTATGTTTATTTGTGTGTCCCAGGGCCCCTTCAGTGACACACTACGGAAGATAGACCCCAGGAGGGGTTCGGGGACCGTTTTTGAGCGGATTGGCTTTCACCCCCCCCCTGGGTGATCTTTTCTGCCCCACCAGCTCAGCTCAGACCTCTTGGCCGCCTCCACGATTTACTTTGCATCTTCTTCGGGGGATGAAGCGTCAGGCTTGTCTTGCGCTCCGACGTGGGCTCGACTCCGATGCCGCGCGGAGTGACACGGATTCGGCCGGGAATTCGACGCGTTCGGCACGGACCCGACGTGGATGCGACGCGGATGGTTGGCGTCGATGGGACAGACGAAGGGTCAGGAGTGACAGAAACACACAGGCACAATTCATCGTCGACTCCCAGGAAAATATGGGAACATCTGGGAAGTGGGGGGGAAGACGGAAACGTAGAAAATATGGGAGAATATTGGGAACTCGGTTATTTGTGTGTATTTATTTGTGTGTCCCAGGGCCCCTTCAAAGGGGATGGATGATCGAGGTCCTCCCTCGCTTCGTCGTCTTGGCCGTCTCGGGGCCCTCTTGGGACCGCTGTGGGGCCACCTTGGCGGCTAGGGGGCCGCCCCCCCCTTCCTCCAACTCGTCAAGCACCTTTGGGATCTATTTCATTGGGTCATACACGCATATTGTACATATGTTTAGAGAGATCTGATTGACTAGAGAAACAGAGAGAGAGAGGGAGAGAGAGAAAGAGAGAGAGAGAGACTGAGACAGAGAAGAGAGAGAGAGAGAGAGAAAGAGAGAGAGAGAAAGAGAGAAAGAAGCATTCGGCCCATCCCGCCACTGCGCCTGGGTTGTAGGTCAGGGGTCTCTGGGATGCCTTTGGGGATCTCTTGGGCGAGGTCTCTCTGAAGCCGGGTTCGGTTCTGGGGTGTTCGGGGAGCCCTTCGGAGGTCTTTTTGAGAGCCTCTTGGGGTCCGATTTGGACGTTCTGTGGGCCTCCTGGGGCTTGTGGGGAGCCTGTTGGGGCCTGCTGGCGGTCTCGGGTACCGTTCGGGGGTGGATAGACTTCCTACCCTGACACGTCGACCAAGGAATTGGCCGTTTTCGGTTCGCGAGAGGGCGTCGCGGCCATTATTTTTTGCGGGTCTAGGTCCGTCGGTTTCTGTCCTAGGTCGTTTTCCCTAAAGGGAGGTTTACTAAAGGGAGGTTTGTCCACCGCCGAACCGTCTTGGGGCGAAGGGCTCGAAATGTCGTTTCGGGTTCCCCCCTTGGGGCCTCTTCTAGGGCCCTCCGTGGGGCTCTGTCGGGGCGTCTCGGGGGCCTCGTCGGACCCTCTTGGGCCGTCTGGGGGCGCTCTTGCGGGCCTCTTTTTGCCCGTCTGGGGGCGATCCTGGGGGCCTTTCCGGCCGTCTTGGAGTGTTGAGAGCCAGAGAAGGCGA